TTCTAGTTGTAATAAGTTCTTGGATGAATAAAATCTATTTTTCGGTAGTTTTCTATTTATGACTGAATCTATGAAATCAATTCTTTTTCTTATCATAATTCTGATTTAGTAATGAAATCTTTCTTTGTTGGGTCACTCATTTACCGGCTCACCCAAGTGAATTACAGAAATTGACTGAAGCTGACTACATCTTACTTTTTAAACGGCAAATAAATTTTTTCATTCTATTTTCTCTAACCACCTTGAAATATTATTCTGTTCACTTTCATACTGTGATTCTGTTAATCATATAAAAAGCTAATCCTGGTCTGTAATCTGGAGGGAACTGTTGCTACCTGATGGATTCGATCCTGAGTCACCCAGCTTCATAGTTAGATATGTTGCTACTGGGCTATCCAGGCCGCGACTGACTGAGATGTATTCACAATTGATTGATCACTGTGTGTCAGGTCCTTCTTAGTGCAGATGAAGTGTTATTAATGAGGTAAATTATACAGTTAATTTCATTTTCATTTTATGCAAAACGATAAGTAGAAAATACATGAAATCTTCATATTTCAAATATTAGTTATGTTCAGAAATTTAACTTCCTTCAAATGGTGGTATCAAAAACCTTCAAAGTATATATATGATGATAAATTTTTCAAAAAGATACAGAGATGTGACGTGGTTTTTTAATTCCTCATCCTACTTATGTTTGTATGTTGTTCGTATGGGATATTTCTGAAGTATAAATAGTTAGTTAAGTAGTTCTGATGATAAACGGTGAATATGATTTATGTTTCTGGTTAAATGTCTGTCAGATGTGATGAAGTGTCTATGATTAAAAAACGGTTCATGATTACTTTCGAAGCCAGCTACGTTATTTTCTGAAATAAATACAAACAGTCTGTCAGCAATGTTAATATTCGACAGTTGTCTTCAGTTTAAAATTTGAAGACGTTTCCATTTTGCTGCATTCGTATCCATGATATTTTGCTCGTTTTTTTTGTATTCATTTGTTTCTCTTTTCAACATACCGCTGTGTAATTGCTGAAGAGTATTTTATTTTCGATGAAACGCGTTTTTGATTAAGATTTTATGTTTTGTCTTTATGTCATTCGGCTGTTAAAGATATCAACAGAAAGCTTTCGTAGTTGTTGTTTGTCTACAATTTGAGTCTGAATTTTTGGAGAACTGTTGCTTCACAAAAACACTAAATTCATGTCACTCACTTTCTTATTTAGGTACATCAACACAAAGCTACTTCAGTCATAACTAACCCTTTGCAAGACTGTTGTAAGAAAGTTATCTAATTACGTTTATTCAACGTAACACGAAACAAAATGCACCATGCTGTTGAACCACATAAACTAGTGTCTATATATTACAAGTTGATGGATATAAAAAATAACCTTAGCATTTTCTAAATGAATAATTAGTGCAATTCAATTTACGTACGGTCGGGATTAAATAATTAAGCTAATAACTAGTTAAATAACTTATAAATGTATATATGGAGCTTGCACTAACAATCAATGAAATACTTTCAACCGGAATACCAAGTAAAATGGTTTCATTAGAGCTCAGTATCTTATGATTCTAAATATTCAGTGACCACAAAACTCCACTAACAGCTCAGTATGAATGTGTTATAAATTCACTGAATATTATTTAATGAATTCAATGTTTTTGACTTTTGTGTTTATGTGTGCAATTTTAGTAACCGTCTAGAATGGCAAAGACACGTTTAATGTTAGACAACTGTTCCGTCTTTTACTATCTGTTCATATATATATATTAAACTACAGTTGCACTTTCAGTAATGGCCGTATTGTAAAAATTTCGGGACGTCCGAAACGTTAAAAATTTATTAATTGTTGTACTTTATATTTTAATGTCGAATATCTGTAAGAGGCAAGTCAAACTATAAGCAGTAATGAAATAAAGATTATACCTGTGTGAACAGGTACGTGGTTGTCTATACTCACTAGATCGGTAGATAACTTATTGAGTGATTGAGATGAAAGATTCTGGTTTCAAAACTGGTGTTCACTGCTAGCCAGTTAAATTATTATTTTTCGGTATGATTGATACAGTATTTACACCATGGACCACAATATTATAATCATGATAGTTTCTTCTTGAAATAAGTATATACTATTTGTATGCATCTTACTTATATCCATTATGTAAGTGATTATTATTATGTCTAGTTTATAGATTAGTCTATTAAGTTTTGTTTTATCAATATCCCATCCCCTAAATGTTTACGTCATTCAATTCCTGATTAGTAAACTTTGTGCGAATTATATTCACCAACGGGTTAGCAAATAACAAAAATAACTGTTAAATTCATATGTTTAAGTTGAAAAATAACTTAGTTAAAACAAAGCGAGTAAAATGGATTTCACTAAGATGAAGTAATTTCAATTGAATTATTTTTGGTTATCAGTTGGAGTAATAAAGTTGAATTAATAAAAATGTTGTAAATCTACGAATTAGATTCAAAACATGTTTGAATGTCAATTTCATGAATGGAATCCATAATACTGAAAAATGATAATACAATACATTAAAATAAAGTTATCTTAGAATGGATATTAAATCAGTGTTAATGAGTGATTAAATGAGTATTACATTCATGAATGTGGACATAGTAGTTAGACAACATTCGAGGAGTTACGAAAGTCATCAGCTGAAGAAAACTAAGGAGTTCTGGGAAAATTGTACACTGTATACAATGTATACCGTCATGATATTTTAAAAAGGCGCTGAAAATCTACCGCAAAATTATGCTTGTTTTAAAATATTTTAAGATTTAATTATGAAAACACAATTTGAAGGCAATTACATCCAATTTAATAAGTCATAATGTACACAAACTAGTCTAACTGTTGCATATTGTATAACCTATAAGAGCAGCTTCTTTACTCTATACATTTGATATTTAGTGATTAATTAAGAATAATCCAACTACTGATACAATGAAATTCGTTGATACTTAAATTATATTGGTCAGTTATATTTCTATTCTACTATTGTGCTTGTACTATAGTTTTAAAACAAGCATAAATTTACTTAGAATGATTAGCTCTTGTGAATAATGCATCATTGATGTTCATCATTGTTATATTTTTAATAACAGCTAGTAGAAAATCCCAGTCATTGACTGAAAGTAGTACTACTTTAATCAGACGGTGAAAAACTGAGAAACTGCACTGACAAAGGGCTAATCAGTAGTATTTTAATCGTTCAAGTTTTATGCAGGTCAAATTAACGAAATTTCACTTTAAAAAAACCCACAACTAACATGCTTGACCCATTCAAGGGTTACATCGAAACCGAAAAGTGAATTATTTAGAGTAGTCATCCCCTTCTGTATCTAATGATTCATTTGCTAAATTAGAGCAAGTTACATTTGTAAATGGTCTAAGAATTTGCTTCTGATTGTTGTGAGAACCTTACAGAATGATTAAGTAATAATGTGGTGTCAGCGACTCCATGTTAACCCACTTGGTCCAAACGGACTGGTCTAGTAAACTTCACCAGTTATCTTTGATAATCTACTATACTAACGATAATCCACAAAAAATAATCACTCTTCCAATTTTTGTAACGACAGAAGCGAGTAAAATATGAATTCCAAAAAACAAGTTCTCTCTCCAAAGGGAATAGATCTAGATCTCTTTCCAGCCTTTGTTAGTCTTCAAATTACTAAAACAATTATCGTTTCTGCTTCTAAATGACACGATAAGACACAAGCATATATCTTTTTGCACTACATTTACGCAAACGAAATCCATTTGATTTAGATTACTATTTTATCTTTATACATTCGAACATTTTATTGAGCACTTAACCAGAATTTATTACTTTTTACTTAGATTTCATAAGTTCATGGAGTACAATAATAACAGATCAAACATTAGATCTTATCATTAAACATATAAGCTATATTATTCACACACTGGTCTCAGTTTGCATACTGTTAAAAACCAGGAAGCACCTAGTATCAAACTCTTTAACAAATCCAGGAATCGAACCCAGAACCGTTAAGTCTCATAGAAAGTGCTCAAGCTTTAGATCGCTAAGCTGAATTTTAGTAGTTTGATGATTAACTCCAATCAATAATTCTCCAACTAGGATCAGCCTACGATATAAACTAGAAAATTCACCAATCTCCATGATCCAATATACTTTTTGTTATTTTGTGACTTATATTCAAATAACTAATAGTACTTATATGTTAGATTATTTAATCTTATTTCAGTAACCGTCTATTGAAACGTCAATGATGTGATGAACTATGATAAATTTTAGATGAAGAAAATAAGGATTATTCATAACACTGTTGGATGCCGGCTCAGTGGTCTAGTGGTTAAGTGCTCGCGCGCGAAACCAGCAGGTCCTGGATTCGAATCTCGCGGGGGGCGAGGCCGTGGAGGAGTCGCTGAGGAGTCCCACAATAGGACGAAACGGCCGTCCAGTGCTTCCAGGTTTTCCATGGTGGTTTAGCTTCAACTGACTCATGATCTTAACCATTGAAATTACTACGATCTCCACAAAACCCATCTGAGATTATTGAAAAGTTTAAAAATTACTCTGGTTGTTGAAGTCTTAAGTTCAATGATTGAATAGTATTTCAATAATCCTGGGTTAAAATTCAATTAACAATAAACCAATAGATCTTGACAAACTAGTTTTTTGTTCTTTCTATTTCAATTATATAAATAGATAGATACGTGATAACAATTAATAATAGATAATTTACATGAGAGAAAGAGAGAAAAAAACAGAAAACGAAATAAATAGAAAATCAATAATAAAATTATAATGTATGCGAAAGGTGACAATATTGAAATGATAATCAGAGAAGAGTTTTATGGAGATCATAATAATTTAGTAGTTGAATTCATGAGTTAATTGAAGCTAGACCACCATGGAAAATCTGAAAGTGCTAGACAGCTGTTTCGTCCCGATATGGGACTCCTCAGCAGTGCTTCCAGTTTTTCTATGGTGGTCTAGCTTCAATTGACTCATGAATCCAACTGCTAAATATTGACATTGGTTTTTTTCAAATTAGATAGAGAAAAGAAACACAAGTAGATTAGTCGATATACTTAATGTGAAACATAAAAAATACAAATATTATTTGAGAGAAAGAATGAACTACTCATTTCATTATAGTAGAGTAGAATAATATTTCAAGTTTATGAACATATTACTATATAACATGAATCAGAGGTAAGAACAGAAACATTTATGAATGTACAAAATATGACTGTGGTGAATAAGGGAAGGGATTATTAATGTAATACTATTTAAGAATGATATAGAATGAAGAAAATATTTTGTTCGTTATCTCTTATGTTATAAGTGAAAATATCTAGTTTAAATTATGTACACACAGCCACGAACATAAATAATTAAATAATAAGAACAATAATGATATTACATTATATTACTTTTAATTGATACTAGTCAATGAAATGAATCGTTTTAATGATGAATACCAGTTGTATCGTTATTTTTTGTCTTACTTACCATGGTACTTTGTTGAATTGATTCATTTGGACATTTGTAATAAGATAGTTTATTGTTTGTTAAGTAACAAGAATTAGGAATTGTTTGAGAATAATGTATCATATGAGACTGATTTAAGGGAAATGATTGATTCTGGCCAGATATATCAAGGGGTTCACGTATCGGTCGCCTATTGTAATATAGAGTAAAAAATAAATAAACACGATCTAATGATGATAAATGAAAATAGTTTTCACGCCAGTTAGATTACTAAATTATTTCTATAGCTTCTGTTGAACTGATCTTTTACTTTTTATCGTAATTTCATTAACATTGAATAAACCGTATGGTCATCATTCTCACTGGTCAATCCGAAAATATGATAGACAAGTTATCGAACATAATTTTGTGATTGTACCATTAGCCTTTTATTAAGTATTATACATATTTACAGGAATTAGACTGAATCGAATGTTTTAAAACTCTACACTTAGTTACTTCAATCAGTTATCATTAATAAAGTGTAACGGAATAGTTGTTTACAAGTTAGCTAGATTAATCATTTAATTTACTTTTATCAGTTCTGACCTTAATATTCAGGTTAATCTGTAAGTAATACAAAATAGTTTTATTCACGAGTTGATCTAAGCTGAACTAACTTGGAAAACCTGAAAGTACTGAACAGCCGTTTCGTCCTAGTATGGGACTCCTCAACAGTGCGTATACACGATCCCGCACCTCGTGGGATTCGAACTCAGGACTTACATGCGAATGCACAACCTCTAGACCAATGAGATGGCATCCAACGGCGCTAATGTCTGATTTCAACCGATCCACGATATTGCGTGACAGTCCACCACTGTCTTCAGTGAGTAACTGCCTCAAAACAGACACGGTTGAACTCCAATGGTCATGGCTTGTCACTACAACTACAGGAAATCAATTTTGCAGCTAGTCACTAGTGAGCACGTGAATATTAGTAGTATGGAGATTTATGACGATTTTAGTACATTCAAGTTTTCATTGGTGATCTAGTATATATCAACTTGTGAATTCTATTGTTAAAATACTATAATCTCCATAAATCATTATACTAATAATATAAAATATACAAATTACCACACAAAGCTATCTATATCTATTAAGATGTATCAATTCATTAATTTAACCTAAATTGAATACGAAAAAAACATTCAGTTCAGAATAATTTTAAGCTAAGTTATAACGATTGTACAATAATAGATTTCCCGAAATGTATCTGTCAATTAAATTACGATCTAAATAGATGATACCCTAATTACTAAACTATCAATTCTTGTTATATTCAAAACAATAGTTTCTTTCTTATTATTCGTCTTCTACCAATACTTGAATACAATTCATTAATTTTGTTAGACCGAATTATTATTTGTTCTTGTTGTTGTTGTCTAGAATGACTAACTTAGTACAAACGTTTTTCTTTTTACATTTTGTTAGTTTCAATATTTACCTGATTAATTAAACCTTTCAGATAAATAATAGCTTATGTACATATTTGTATTTTATGTTACGGAGTGATTTCAGGTCGGTACTTTTAAACAACAGAATTGACATATATTCACAGCTAATTGAAGAAGATCATCAATTATTACCGATAATAATTCTCTTACACAGTAAATTGATCTAATTATACTGGTTGGAGTGTTTTAGTAATACTAGACTGAATTAGCTATCCAAAGCTCTTTGGTTTCAAATGAATTTCTACCTAGTGTTAATTGGTGATGTGAACGACAAAAAATAGAACCATCACAATCAAACCCTTACATTAACATAAGTCTTAGTTCAGAAATTGGTTTCATCAGACAGCTCATTTTTAAAAAATCATTAACTTATCTTGTTACGAATATATACAAACTATAATCTAATCAAATTAGTACAATTGTAGAGGTAACATTTATCTTCAAACAGATTAAAAACAAAGCGCAGTTAGTAAATTTAAATGTAAACAAGAGACACATCATTTGATATCACTTTATGTCACTGTATAATTATAGTTTTAATGACTGTAGCTATAACTAATATGTAACAATTGAAATGGATCAACTTCACCGAACAACAATAAAGTCTCAGCCAAAATCAAGCTAGGATTGAATAAATGGTTATTGAGTTTGTTAAGCGTATCTAACTCTAACCAAATAAAAGGTTCATTAATTCCATTGGATCTAAATAGGAGAATGTAGAGTTTATTCTTCTTTCAGCTAATTACTGAGTTAAATATAAATTGTGTTTGAATATGACCATTAGTAGAGAAACATTTCAATAATAATGTTTTAAAAAGCTGTATTCAATTTTAGATCACATATTTGATTAAGTTACAAAAATTCTTTGCAATAAATGGTTTGAGTTAAAAATTTCTCCAAACAGAGAAGGTTGGGATGGATCAGTATTATTCCCAGTTTTATACTTATTTGTCACATTAAACGTATGTCTTATTAGAATAAGAAAAACATAACTTTATAAAACTGAAGTAATTAAATTACCGCATTGGTTGATTACTTAGTAATAATCAATATTTTGTTTGCCCTGTACTTAGGTTTCATGTTAAATAGAGCAGGTGGGTGATTTTGATGGAGTTTTGTTCTCTAAGATGGATGATTTGGTCTCCAATTTCTCCTGGTGAAATTCAAACATTTCACTTCTACCTGAAGTTTGTTGTGATGATGCCGTTTAGAAGAACGATGAAAGCTCCATGACCAAATTATCCATCACAAAGAAAACTCCATCAAAAAGTAACTGGAATTTTAAGAATGCTATGATTACCAATAGTTCTCCCGAGATTGTTTTATCCTGTTCTGATGAGCACTAAATAGCTTGAAAATAAGTTAAATGGCCTCCATGAAATTGTCTCTAACCGCCAAATACAAATTAAATCATGCTCAGAACAAACCGACGTTTATAACGCATTTGAGGCTGATCTAAAAAGATGACTTGAAGCTATGTGGTGGTGATGAACATTGGTTAGAAATAATATGAATTTCGGTAAAAATCCCTTATCAGTGTAAGCTTTGTAGGGATCGTACTATTTACATAGTTTAACTCACTAATCAATCTTACTCTGATTACCACTGGAAACCGGTTTCGTCTTAGTAAAGAACACTCTAGAAACGGGCACGTTCCAATACGCCAAATAGGAAAGAACTCAAAACCTTTTTTTTAGCATTAACGTTTAACCTCTAGATCATTGAGCCGCAATCCAACGGAGCTAATGTTCAACTTCAACCAAATGACAATAATGTGAAACCAAAATCTATACCCTGCAGCGAATAACCGTCTCACAAGCTATAATATTGAACTCGGTTTGTCAAGGTTTCACACTTTTGATCATTTTTTATGATTGAATAGTGAAAGATTTGATAGCTAAGATCAAGACAAACATCATAAAAGTACATATTAAAAGAAGGTGAACTTACCGATATTTATTTGAATCTATAGGAATTAAATAACGTGTAGGGAATGATTTATTATTTATACAACTTAAATTAATTTCCCATCCACCAGAATGATTTATTGTAGTATTACACATTGTTGATGGTATATTCATATGATTAGATGATGAAATTGGTTGAGAAATTTTAAATCCATTTGCAATTGTTTTAGGAGAATTGATTGTAAATCTGGTTGGATTTGATTGATAAAAATGTACAGGCTAAATAAAACAAAACCAAGCAATAGATTCTAGTGTCAAATGTAGTATTGAATTGTTTTCAATGAACTGACCTTTGAGTTATTAAAAAAATAGATATCTGGAAAAATAATATTCTTTCTAGTTAATTTCCAGTACATTCTATAGTTATTATAATTAATAAGGAATATCCAAGTTTACCATATTTAGCATGTAAAGTTAGGATTGACATTATAATAAAATCTTTTAACTGAAAACAACAAGTACATATTGTTAACACGAATAAGTCTATACATCAATTGTAGTTGTATGTTTAATAACCAGAATAAATATAAGTAATATAGACAGAAATATATAGTCATCTAATGTTATATCAAATCAAATGTTTGATCAAAAACTATGTCATACATCAAATTATATGAATATATCAGTATGGGGTTGTGAAGATTGTTAAGTTTTTGATTAGGATCATGAATCGATCGATGTAAGACTATCATCGAAAACGTGGAAGCACTGAATGGTCGTTTCGTTTTAGTACGAAACTCCTCAGAAGTACGTATCCATGATTACACACGTGGGATTCGAACTCAAGACTTTCTGTATCACATGTGAACGCTTAACCTCTAATTGGAACTAATAAGATCAGTTAAGTGGTTATTAAATTTTTCACATATTTACAAAACTAATAATAATAACAATACAAGGGTACATGATAATAATAATAACATTTGAATAACGCTAACTAAAAAAACATTAGGCGAACGATTTCATGTACATGAGTCAAATTATGTCATCATATAATCACGAATTGTATCGACTTGTTTTATTTGAAGTTAACCAAATGAAGAATTTGGCTTAACATATATCAATTATATGTAAGTCTCTCCTTTTTAAATCCGTATAGCTACTGCATCAGCCATTTAAAGAACTGTAAGTTTGATGAATTTCAAAGATAACTGTTAACATTTCAGTTATTCTTCAAACTAAGATACTTAAGTAGAACAAGGAATAAAAGTTTTTATGATATTGATAGGAGTTAATTTACAAAATGAAATTTTATTTTCCAGTTTTATTACAAAATGTGATCCGTTTATGTAAACATAATTATTATGGTAATAGGTTTCTGTAGATATATCATCTAACAACTGATTTATTTACAACTAACCTATTTCGATAGATCTTATTCCACTGTTAATTTGATCCTTTCAGATAATTAATATAACGCACATAGAAATAACATATTAATCCAATATCTAAAGTTATTGAAACGTTTGTAAACAAAAAGAAAACTAGTGTTTAAAATGAATAAGTTTGTGTCACTATCTTAACCCGCAGTTTAAACCCGTTTAAATAATATCACTATTGTTTTGAATGTTAGATCAAAGGTCCTGGGTCCAAGTGTTGCGTGCGTGATTGTGGATGCGCATGACTAAGTAGTCCCATACTAGAATGAAACGGCTGTCTAGTGCTTCTACATCTTCAATGGTGGTCTAACATTGATGCATTCATGCTCTCAACAGTTTGCACAACCCTATACTGTCAAACAGGTTATCATTATAATGGAAATTCGTTCCTTCGATGTATCTTAAGGGGTTTCGGTTTTAGTTGGTACTTGTATGATGACTTGTTTATACGGTTCAACTTCATCGTGCATTACAAATTGCATGAAATTGTTTAGTAATGTTTATTAAGTTTATTGAACCTAAAGATAACATTGTATATGGAGATTGTTGTATGACAAGTAAAAATGGATCAAATAGTTATGTCATATACTAATTATGAGGTTTTATGGAGAGTTACCTTACTTCTAGTAAGAAGCTGTAACCAATCGAATTCAAATGTGTTGTTTGTTGAAGATACGATTAGATTGTTGTTTAATTCTTTGAATTGACTGAAGTCAAATATGTAAATCAGTGAACACAGTCTCAGTAGTTTAAAGATAAAATTATCACAGAAAGACCTGTAAGTTTTGCGTTCGATTATGAGGGATGATCATGAATTTGCCTTTTACAGGAGTTTCATACTGTAACAAAACAAATATTCAGTTCTTGATCTCAATAAAATTATGTAGTGGCTTAAATTTTCCGATAATTTTGAGAACATTTTTCACAGGTTGAAATCATGAGTCGATTGAAGCTAGACCACCATGGAAAACCTGGAAGCACTGGACGGCCGTTTCGTCCTAGTATAGGACTCCTCAGAAGTGCGCATCCACGACCTCGACTCGCGGGATTTGAACCCAAGACCTAGTGGTTTCGCGCGCGAGCACTTAACCACTAGACCACTGAGCCGACATCCAACGGTGTTAATGTCTAACTTCAACCAATCCACGAAGTTACACCACCGTACACCATTGTCTTCAGTGAGCTGATATCTCACTTTTTTTCAATAATATAAAGACTAGACAGTATAGATAATAATGAATAGTCATATTTGTGACAAGTATATTCTGTCTTGTTTCTTCTTTATTAAAGTAAAAAGAATGAGGATATAAATTTATAAACATTAAACATACTTCATTATTTTTATTTATATTATTACTAAGATTATTTTTGTACATTAACTGAGTATGAGGATTTGTAACTGGATGAGATGTTTGCAATTTAATGTTCATTATATTCAAAAGATCATTTTTAACTGATATTCCATTATGACTTTGATTATTCATTAGATTTTTGTTTAAATAATTATTAGAAATTGAACAGTTATTTTGATGAGATTTAAATCTATCCTTTCTATTTTCAATTGTACTTCCTTCATTACACATAAATAATTTAGCTTCATGAGTATTTGAGGCAAATTGATGATTGATTGATTTTAAAGGAGGTTGTAGTTGTTGTTGTTGTTGATGGTAATGCATCATCGACTTCAATTCTGAAGTTTTTTGAAAACTATTATCTGGATGATTTGATGGTACTTTGTCCTGAATAAGAAAAATTAATATAAAAAATTGAAATAAAGTTTTAGAAAACATAAATGCTAAATAATTCTTAGATCAAAGTTATAAAAAGAGTGTAGATATACACGTTTATGTAAATTGGGAGCTGAATAATAATCAATAACATTTTGTTTAATCCTGAATTCCAATGATATTTTATCTATCAAGTTTACATTGTAACTTACAGATTAAGTGACTTGACATTAGGGTGAATATGTCTTTATATTGCCTAATTGAAATTGATTAGTAAGAAGAGCTTAAAACAGATTCTATGCACATTGACACATACATGAACTTGTAAGCGAACCTTTACTTAGAATTTTTAAAACAGCATCAAGCATAGCTGCTATTAAAGAAATTACAACTAATATATTTGAACTCAGTGAATATATAAGACTAATTTCCAGGGTTTATGCGTATTCTCTGAATTCAATTATTTTTAACGATAAATCACTAATGAGATTAAAACTTCAGAAAAGAAAATCAGAGTTAATAAGTGATTTTTTTATTTCTTAAGCAGTAAGTAGGTCAAAAAGCTGTGGCTATCGAATGAATTTCACGTACTTAAAAGTAATTTCTGATCACTTTTATGAACCTAGAAACTAGTGGTATATGTTAAACTATAGGTAGGTTATTATTTCAATGGAGTGAAACTGAAATCTGAAGAGTAATTTTAAATTAATTTCTTTGACCTTGTAAATAACTCTAGTTAACTCTGAATATATTTTTTTTGTTCTTAATATTCATTTTACTTTCACTAATTCAGAAAATAAGTAAAGAAATTGAGAAGTTTTAGTTCTCTAAGGGAACATACAACTATATTCTTAACGAATTTCTATTAAATTAGATTGTTTCAAGAAATAGAGTAAATGATGTACATTTTGTCACCCAGAGGTACCAGCATTTCAGTGTTGATATTCATACTGAGACTGAAACCCAGTAGCCTTCCTTCCAACCCCAGAATATCAGTTAGCGAGCTGCTGATTCCAGGAAGCTATTAAATTATTTAACGAGTATGAGGATTTTGTAGGGGTTTGTATTTTTCGTTTATTTATCTCAAAGAGTATTAGTAAGAGAAAAAACGTGTACTTGATGGAACCGCCAGCTTTAATATCAGAATTTACTAAAAATCTGTAGCTAAGTGGCAATGATAAGGTAATTGTCTAAGGATTTTCATATGCAAATAATGATAGATCAATTTCAGTTCTTAAGATCAATAACATCGAATACGAATTTTCATAAATATATTCTTTACAGTTCAGATTAAGGTCCCATTGTACGCCAATTACAGTCTTCCCCTATTTTAAAGTCTGTTACTAAGTCAACAGTAATGATAATTTCAAATCGAACGCTTACGTTCTTCCATACAATCTTAACTGTATATTAACCGTGGGTGTTAAATATTATCCTGACACTTGGACAATTTACTTTGAAGGATGATTGATTATACTCTATGGGCAAGCAAGTGGAAAAACAGTACCGATTATTCATAAACTTTCTTAATGTTCGATAAGTGTTCTAAGTTTCCCTGTTGATAAATTATTGGTGTGAAGAAGCTTCAGTTGTCTTTAAGTGTTAGTTAAGTGTGACTAAATTCAGAAGCTTTACCCCAGTTATATAGATAACTACTGAATAATTACATGAAACTTCATTATTTATCAGTGTATAAGAAAAGTAGATTTGCTGCGAAAAAATTATGTTCGAGGGTATAAAACATGTGAACTACTTTGTATATTTTAGAAAAATTAATTACAGACCGTATATCTTTAATGAGTTAAGAAAACAACTGTTGAGTTCAAATGATCACGATACAATACAGGGTTTTCTTTTGAGCAAACATGTATGTTCTGAGTTATATCAAAGGCAAATTTATAGGTCAATATAACAATAAGTTATTAATTATTATATTTTAGAATATTTTCATATCCAATTGAAAATACTGAACTTCATGAAGCAAGATAAGTCATCAAATAATCATGTTAGTGTTAGCTATTGTTCAAATATACTTTGGTTCGAATCTCGCGAGGCGGGGTCGTGGATGCGCACTGCTGAGGAGTCCTACAATAGGACGAAACGGCTGTTCAGTGCTTCCAGGTTTTCCATGGTGGTCTGACTTCAATCGACTCATGATCTCGACTATTTAGATCACTTCAATCTACACAAAACCCCTTCTGAGAAAAATATACATTTATAATCAAATCACATTATATGATGTTAGGATTTACGCAGAAAATATCTCTTAATAAAATTAGATTGAGTACTTTAAAACCACAGTTGCTATGGTAGTAGTTGATTATCCCTAACTGTTTCAATGATAATAAGTTACTATAAAATCTATCTTCTATGTGATATGGAATCATTATTCTTCTCAGCTGAAAAACAATGTTTTCCAAGTTATGAAATGCATATATACATATTTATTTAATAGATCTTATGTACATTTTTAATAACCGTTTGAACGAAACTCTTACTGACATATTAACATTATTATATTAGGAAATATAAATGTTAATAAAGGTCATACATTCCTCATGTCAATGATTTATTTTACGAAATAAATATGAAACCACATTTATACTTGCAGCCATCAGCATTGAATACATATATCGCAGTAAAGATTGATTTAGAACGATTATTTATTATCAAGCTTGTCAGTGTATGGGCATAAAATGCTAAATTTCACAATTGGTTCAATTTGGTTTTTTAAAAAAAACATAAACTGAAATGGAAAAAATACACATAAACATTGAGTTGAAGTAGAAATGGATGTTTATTGAATCCCAAGAAGGCCTTATTTATGTATGTAAACCACTCACTATGGATAATCTACAAGTTTTCATTGTGTGTTTTTGGATTAAATACTATAAAACTAATAAACTTGAACACATTCTTATAGTTATGCAGTGCAAAGTTAATATTCAATGTTTACTATTCATGAGTAAAATGTTTCTATAATTATAGATTAGAATATGAATAAAATATTCATATTTATTTTTTATTAATTTAATACACTACTTTTTAAGCAAAGATGGATAGTGACTAGTAGTGGAATCCATGATGTGTGTTTCGTCCTATTTGGGACGCATCGCCCCAAATGCCCTGGTACGGCTGAGAGTGGGGAGAGTCCGCTCTCCCTCTCGAAATGCTCTCACATGGTCACGCGTATGTAGCCTCTGCCAAGAAAGTCTTACTCACTGCCTTCTCGTGGCAGGGGTGTTGTCCAGTGCTTTAACCGGATTCCAAACCAATGGCGTACATGGGCTCCAGTATCCTGCGGGAACAAATGGCGTATGAACCAATCGTTGGTCACCGGCTTCTATGAGACTGCATCTCCTTACGATGCTCCACTGCCTTGTGGATCAGAATTTCAGGTCGAAGGCTCGGAGAGTGGTCCCCTAAGAAAACATCCTGCTTCGGTTTGGGCACCCGGGCAGTATCAAAGCCCTCACATATATCGAATGAGATTTATATGGGGGATATGTATTTGGTGCCTTCTTTTACCAATATCTAAGTGTTAAAATAAAAATGCAATAAATAAATTTGGGACTCGTCGGCTAGATGTACCTGCATCGCAGAGTTGATGTTCACTCTGGGACTAATAATGGGAAGATATAAGTAAAACAACACCAAATGAGTTTAATACACTACTTGTTTTGTAACCATAAATGAACTTCAGAAACAACTATCTGATACTTTTGTAACTTTATGACAACTGTTTAGATTTAATCAGTGCATAGATAATTAATGCTTAAGTGAATTATCCAATTTCTAACAATAATGTTGTTGTACTGGATAAACAATGGTATTGTTATGTGCTATAACTAAATAAAGAGTGATTTAGCTCAATGTTAAGATTTTATTATAGAAACAAATATAAGTCGATACTTGACCAAATGATATATAAGTTCAAATTAAAATTGACATTAATTAACCAGTAATTAACTATATATTAACAGTTTAAAATATCATTAGTTTAAACTGACCGCTGCTTCTTCCTAATAGATGTTTACCGGAAGTTAAAATTCTTAATAAACTAAGTGCATAGTAAACAAATGAATAAATTAAACAAAAATCACCGACATAAACAAATAATTTAATTACGGTAGAAAGAGTTGATCAAGAGTTTTTTTGACAGCCTCTGACAGTTAAACACACTTAGTAAACCATCATATTTATTCAACACTTATATGCAAAGTCCTGTCGTAAATTAAACTGGTTTCACTCTATTGTGTACTAAACAATACTGATAATTTTCAGTAATCATTTACATAAGTACAAACGAAAAAACAAGAATCATTATTTGGAATTAAAATTTATAATACAATAGAAACTTTTTAATTGTTGTGAGTTGTTATTTAGTGAGTTTGTAACCTTGTGACTTGTTCTCATCCGCAACAAATTAGAACAAAGTTCTTTATTTAATTTTTAACTGACTACAGTGTTGAACATGAATCACTTTGTAAAAGTTTACTGTGATTTATGTCCCAAGGTACTTTATGAACATGATCTTTATTTCGTTAATGAGTTATATTATTTCCCTTGATGAATTTAAATAACGAGTTAAGTCTTAAGAAACTATCTTCTTCTTATTAGAGATTGGACAGTAAAATCCTAAAAATGGTATTAATAGAAATTATGTTGTGTCAAACGCTACATATCTTTGGTGCATGAAAGACACGTTAGTCGAATTCGTACAAGTAACCTGATAATTGAGGTATTCTGGATCACAATATCATACTGTAGACCCCAGATAAAAAACCATGAGTTGATGTTTGAATTTCTTAGAGAGTCGTCACTTCACATTGAGATGTACGATTGTGTTATGTGCTACTGATGTCTACAGATATAAGTAGTATGTATCATCAATCAAAAGTGAATCATCTGGTGGCAGAAGGTTGAGAAGATCAAAGAAAAAAGAACGAGAACAAAGAGTGATTGGTGTGGAAACAAAAGAACAATGAAGTCTGAGACGAGACATTTTACCA